AAGTGTAAAGCTTTTTGGTATTTGGCTTATTGGAGAAAACCAAACAGTTCACAGCAAGAATGAAAGCAGGAGTTAAGTTTTGAATATATTGCAGGGAGGGGAGCATCTGAGTGTAGCTTGAAGATGTTAATGCTCTAAATAAAAACCCAACCAAAGCATGGTTTTTAAGCTGCCTTCTTTCTATTTATTGTGTGTTTTGGAAGCCAAAATTAACTGGCCTGCGTCAGCAGAGGAGAGCGTGTGGGGACTGCTGAGGAGGAGATGGAATCACTGGAGCATGTGTGTTCCAAGGTGTTACTGTGAACACAAGCCATCCTCTGCCATTAAAATGCCTTTTACAAGCACCTGCAGCTATAACAGAACTTTATGTCCCTTCTAATACAGCCATGCAGGGTGCAAGGATCACCATTGATTGTAAAATACATCGATGTTGCTCCACCCCTATTCCCTACCTATCCAGAGGAAGGCAGGTTGAACTTCCCCGTCTTTTATTCCCTTTTTAATTAAGCATGGCCTTGTCTTACAAGCCAGGTGATTTGGAATCACAGCAGTCTGCATGTATACCTAATCTTTGTGCGTGTCAGAGGGAAGAAATGAGCTGAAAGGTGTCCAGGAAGTGCTTAAATTATTTGTCACAAAAGAGTTAGAGCAGTTAAGCAGTCTAGAAGCAGCTAGAAACAAAAAAATAGTGTTGCTGATTTGTTTTTTTAACTGCAGCTCCTAAATGAAAAATATGAATACCTTGTCTTGCAGACCTTGAAGCTAATTTAACACTGATTCTCCATTAAAAAATATTTAAGTAAGCCAACAAAAAAAAAAAAGGTAAGAAAAATATAGAATTACAATCTATGTGAGCTTTCTTTAGAAGAAAATTTATGTCCATTCTTGATGCATCATGCATGGCCCAAGCTGAGCCTCAGCCTTGCTGGTAGCACTCAGACCCCACTGCTGATTCTGGAGAATCCCATTTGCAGCACAGTTTCGTCTTTACAAGCCTGAGATGCTTCCCAGAGAGACAATTCCACTAAAAGCAAGCCTGGATCCAGCGCATCTTCCGCAGTTGCTTGCCATATCCAGTGGCAGTATAACAAAACCTTAAAGCCTTGGGGGGATAAAAGACTCCAACCCACAAAACCACGTTGAGAAAGAGGAGCCAAAGCTTCCCATGACTGCCTTCGGGCACGGCCGGCAGCGATCGCTTCCAATAAACCACGGCCAAAGTTTCCCAGGGAGGAGGCTGCGAATTTGGAAGCAGCAGAGAAGATCTGAGCTCTGGCGAGCAAATGTGGGGGCTGGTGCTGGCCCTCCCGCCCCCCCCCGGGGTGTGAACACATACTTGCTCCAGGGCCAGGTTTCCATGAGCCAGGATGGGGGGAGGGTGGATTTATTTGGTGGAAAAAACCACCGGTTTCCCTCTGCCCTGGGACCAACCGTGTTCCCAGCAGCTGCTCAGTGGGGTGGCATCGTCACTCAGGGGGTCCCCGCTGTGGTGGGACCAAAAAGCTTCAGGGTGGCCTTAGGACGTGGACACAGGTGCACAAGTGGCCCCACAAAGACATGTATTTAGGCAGGTGGATGTGCACATACAAGTGTACAGATGCTGAGCCTTCATCTTCCATGGATACACATGTGACAACATACACATGCAGGGAAATCCACATTTGCATCCATGATATAATTATTTTTTTTTTTTTAAAGAAAGACTGCAAAGAAATGCAATGTTATTTCAGGATGTATTTGGAGGAAGCTCAGCAGCAAAAGGGATGCACTGAGCCATTTCAAACACGGCAAATGCCCTACCCCGCGTTCCGCAGTGCTCTGACAGCCCCCGGGCCGGCTGACAGGGAGGAAGCAGCTGTATGGCACTGATTCCCACTCGGCAGCTTCCTCTTCAAGGCCTTTGCCTGAATAAAGTGCCAGAAATCACAGCTGATGTGTTTCCATACGGCTCACTCTCCCTCGCAGGCAGCTAAATGCCAAGGTTGCCAATCCGCTCCAGCTGCGCGCAAGGATTCTTATCCCCGGGGTACCTCGGGATCTGAGAAAAAAATTAAAGCTAATTTTCATGTTTTCTGATGCTGCTGGGGCACCGAGGGTAGTGTTGGGGTCTGCAGCCGTCCTGCCTCCCCGGGGTTGGGCTGCCCTGTGCTGGAGGACAGCTCGGATATGGTGCAGCAGCAAGCTGGGCTCAGCCTGGGGCGGGGAAGATGGGGATGAGAAACAGCTGGGAGGAACAGTGCTGGGGAACCGCCTCCACTGCTTTTAAGCTCAGATGCCTGGTATAGTTCCTCCTTTTTTGACCTACCCTGGCTGATCTGTGATGTTTCCAATGGACCTGCTCTGCTCTCCTTGCCCAGGGGCTGGGATGTGCTGCCCTGCTTGGTGAGGTCCCTGCCTGCCTCACTGTTGTCCTCACCTCTCCTTCCCTGCTGCATATGTTGGGTTTTTTCCATTTTTTGTGGTGATGAGGATTGAGCAGCAGTCAAAAAAAGTAGCAAATGCAGTTAAAAAGTGTAGAAATACTCCATGGTAAAATGTGTAGATGTGGCACTGGGGCACATGGTTTAGTGGTGGACTTGGCAGTGCTGGGTAACAGTTACCTCGATGATCTTGGAGGTCTTTTCAAACCTAAATGGTTCTATGAAATGTGGTTGATGCTCCTACATGGATAGCATCACCTGTTAGTGTTTAAACTGCATCCTTCTGTGGACTATTTTCCAGAGCTGTGTTCCAGCACAGAGAGTCACATCAGCGTGGCCAAGCATATAAACCCTGGGATATTCCCTCTTGGAAATATAATAAGAAAGCACGGGAAGGGAACATGGAGAAAAAAACCTCATCTTACTATTTCTAGCTCCTTTAAAAATTATTTTGCCTTTGGCAGGCAGTTTTTGTTGCCCCATTTTGCTTCATTTTTATTTGTGGCTGGTGGCCGGGACACGGATTCCCGGAGATGTTATCTCAGGGGAAGGGTTGCAAAAATGGATGCAAGTCCATCAGGATGGAAGAAAAGGAAGATTTGCTTAACTGTGCCCTTGATTTCCCTTCTGACTGTGTCTCTGCAGCTCATCTCCTGAGGCCCTGTGTTCATGGGGGCAAATAATGACTCTGCAGATCTGCGAATACAGCAGGAACTACATAGCCCAGGGCTATAGGAATAGCTGTGGAGAGGAGCTCTCTGACTCCTGTGCTTTAGAAAACCTTTGAGACCCTTATACTCACCACAAACTGCCTGTCACAGGGACTGAGTTTAAGCTTATGACTATGGAAAGCAATTTTTGGATCGGGGATGAGAGATAAGGAAAGTGTTACCAGCAAATCCTTCTCTGCTGAGGTACAGGCACAGGATACTTCTGCCACAGATCTGCTGGTTGCAAACACCTTGTTCTCACTATCCTAGGGTTTGGGTTCCCACCATCCTAGGGTTTTTCATCTTCCCACCATAAGATAATGAAAGACTTTAATTAAATCAGCAAGCTGAAGAAGGCTTTTGTACTTGAGTGGGTGGTGTGATATTGTTATGTACTGTAATGTTGACTTCTTTTGGATCTGAGCCTGGGATGTGCCCCTGCTCTGCTTATTTGCCAGCCTGCAAATGGGTAGTTTAACACTGGCAGCTCCAGCTCCAGCTCTGGTTAAACTGGGAGTGATTCTTTCTGTGAATTAAAATGAGATCTTGACAGCCCTGAGAGTGATTTGAGATTGTTCCCTGAGTTTTCAGTGTCTTTGTCCCTGTGGGGCTGTGTCAAGGTCTCCTGTGGCAACACAAACTCTGTGAAATTCCATCCAGAGACCGTGGGATGCTCCCAGACCCTGTGGATGGACTGCACACTGTGGGAAGCAGGATGCCCCATATGACAGCAAGGCAGAAAGACGTGACTGCATAGGCAGAGTTTTGTGAAAGCTGGTGTGCAGGCATGAGCCAGCAGTGCAGGCATCCATAAAGGATTGGGATATGCATGTAAAACATGTGCAGGACTGTATCCATGCAGCCCTTCCAGGTGAGTTTTCTGCATTTTCGCCCTGCATTTGCATCTGGCCATGTCTCCATGTACATCTGCAGACTCCCAGTTTGTGCACGTACCAAGGCACCGTGGAAAGCCAGGCATGATTTTAATGACACAATTTCATCCCTGTTTCATGCCTGAACAGAATCTTGCAGCTGGCACAGTTCAGTGAGGGTGGCTGGGGAGGTTGTGTGGGCCCTGCTGAGCTCACCTTATGTCATGGGGCAATGGGGGAAACTGAGTGGGATGTCACAGCCTGAGTTCCTTCATGTTTCCTTCACAGGCTTTGCAGGTAGATGTGAAGGGCTGGAAGACCAGGCTCCTCGGGCAGCACTGTTTACACAGAACTGGCTCCAAGGAGGAGGAGGGTGCCTGGGCGGTGGGAGCTGCCTCAGTGCCGTGAAGAAACCGCGGATCTGGAGCTCAGCGGCTCCCTGGGCGTAATTTAGCAGCAGGGCTAGTTTCCTCATGTGGATGGATTCATCAAAAGGCGAGGAAAAACTTAAAATAATAACCCAAACCACCCCAAAGTCCCCCAAACCCCAGCACTGACGCACTGAACGTCTCCGTGCCTTCAGCTCCTGAGCCGCTGCTGAGCAGATGTTTGTAAAGCGGCTCTGTGTGTATGGGACCGTATGGGGAGAGCACTTTGCTCACGACCTCTCTGCTACGCGCTGAAAAAAAGGCGCCAAACACCCTCCCCGAAACCCCAACATTCTTCCGCGAGTGGGTTAAACGCTCCCGGGGCTTCTCCTTCCTGGGATGGGACAGCGGGTGCAGTTGCTGGGAAACAAACGCCACCTGGGGACACTCGCTGGGAAGCAGCAGCGAGGAGCAGCTGCTGAGAAAAGCTGCTCTGTGGGCTTTAAAGGCATTTTAAGCAGCGTCCGGGTTTCTGGATGGGCAGAGGGACCCCTTCTTCGCCTTGCCTGGCGGGTGACACCGGGCAGGGCTGTGTGACACCAGGCGGGCAGGGCTGTGTGACGCTGCACATCAGCACATCGCGATACGCAAACGCGAACGGCTCGCGGTCAAAAGTTCAGTCGGGGCGGGATAGAAATGTTTACACATTTTCTAGAGTACGGCGCTTGCGACCCTGCGGCTCGGAGGAGGAAAAGGTAGGTGCTCAGCCCCTGGCTTCCCCCTCCCCAGTCTTCTGCCTTCCCGACAGGGGCGAGGAACTTGAGCCCCACCGTGCCCAGGAGATGCTCTGCTGCTTTTCTAGCCAGGGAAGTAACGCTTTGGTTTTGTTTTTTTTTTCTATGTGGTAAAGGGCATAGAAATTATTACAAGGAAATGAAATGCATCTAAATGAAATAGGGTGTTCATTTCCTGCTGGGTGGGGAGATAAACCATTCAGAAAATGATCTTTGGCTTTCCTGAGAGTATATTCATGTGAGTTGACACTTTACTTTTATACCTAAGACTTCTCTCTCCCTTTTCTGATTTGCTTAGGTAATTTATTTCCAGTTCAGCTTGTCAGACAATGATTCCTGAAAGGGCTGGTCACTTGAACCAGCCTTTGCAGGCAGCAAAATGGGTATTGGAGTTTGAGCTTTTCTAGACACTAGATAGATACAGACAGATCAGGTCCTACCTGAGGCCCTACCCTCTTAGTGTCATAAAAAGCTTAGGAAAAGCTTTCTGTCAGGTAGGGTCTCCTAATTGCCTATGGAAGCAGGAGGGATTAAGGCTGGTTTTCCATCTCATTCCAGGTATTGGATCAGGGACATTCAGGACTGTGTGTGGCTGCCATACAAAACTGAAGGGGAAAGCCCATCTCTGCCTGCCCGCTGTGTTCTCCACCTGAAACTATTGGTGGGGGATGGCTTATTAGGTAACCTGTAACAAGTCTGAGGTAACATTTATAGCAAGAACAGCCTGGGTTCTCCCCTGTACCCTCACACTGATGCCCCAGGGGACACCTGCCTGGGCTGTGAGAGCTGCTGAGGCCAGGCAAGCAAACACAATGAGTCCTTCCTTAAGTGCTTCTTGCCAGGCCTTGGCTCTCCTGGCTGGCACTGGCATTGTTGTCCTTAATCACCCCTCACACAGACCTGCAGGGCATCAAGTGTAAATGGTGAGGTTTTGCAGGCTAATAAAGCAGGATTTTCTGTTTATTAATTAAGTGAAAAAGCTGTTAACTAGTGTGTTTCATCAGCCAAACCCAGGCATCCCCCACAATGAAGGCACTGAGCATTGCATCTCTCCTATCCTTCAGCAGGATTCCTTGTACAGAGCCCTTCTGACCATCATGGAACCCACAGCTCACAAACAACAGGGGGTCTCTACCCCTTCTAATGCAAAGACAGCAGAAGACCTTGCCTTGGAGCTAAATGCTGCTGTGAAGAACAGAGAGAGAGAACTTGTGCTGGAGCTGCTGGAGAAAGGGGCGGATGTGAACTCCAAAGTAGGAAGTGGCTGGACACCACTGCAGACCGCTGTGCAAACTGGTGAGGAGGACCTGGTCCGACTTCTGCTGGAAAAGGGCGCTTGTCTGCATGCCAGGAAGGACAATGGTGGCACTGCATTTATTGAGGCTGGGAGCATGGGAGATGTGGAAATACTGAAGCTCCTCCTGGACCATGGGGCAGACATTAATGACCCTGACAGCAACGGCTTCACAGCTTTCATGGAGGCTGCATGGTACGGCAAGGAGGAAGCCTTGAAATTCCTGTACAGCAAAGGAGCCGATGTGAATTTGAGGAGGGTAACTAGTGAGGAGAAAGCCAAACTGCATAAAGGAGGTGCGACAGCACTGATGGATGCTTGTAGGGAGGGCTACTTCTCGGCTGTAAAAATCCTTGTTGAAGAGATGGGGGCTGATGTGAACATTCGTGACAACAGAGATAGGAATGCCTTGATCCATGCTCTAAAGAAGGGTTCAGAAACAAAACCACCTGAGTCAGTTCTTGCCATAGTTCGCTTCCTGCTGGACCATGGTGTTGATGTGAAGAGCAAAGATGAATGTGGGAAAAGTGCCCTCATCCTAGCTGTTGAAATGGAGAGCCCAGAGCTGGTGAAAACTTTATTGGAGAAGGATGAAATAGATATTGATGATGCAGATGAGGAGGGCAACACAGCGCTGATGGTGGCTGTAGAGAAAAATGATCACAATACAGCAAAGGTGTTGTGTGAAAAAGGAGCAAGGACTGATGTTGGGAACCTTATCGCAGTTGCTAGCAGAAAGCGTTCTCGTAACATGGAAAATCTCCTTCGTGTGCATAAAGCCACGTTTGTTCCAGAAACCCCCAGAGACTGGGAGCCAAACAGCAAACGCTGGAGGGAGCAGCTGAAAAAGCTTGATCAAATCTATCGCCCTATGATTGGCAAACTGAAGACATTTCATTACATCGAGCAGAGAATTCGGGAAGGCATCTACCTCGGGCTCCACGGAGGGACAGAGGTAGCAGTAAAAGTAACCCTCAGCAAAGAGGGTGATGAAGAGAAAAAGTTCTTTGAAAAATGTTGTCACTGTGAACGTCTACTGAAGCTCTTCCAGTCTGAGAAGGAAAAAGGCTGCACGTACCTGTGCTTCCCACTCTGGGAGAAAACCCTCCAAGAACATCTGCAGGACCCAGAAGACCAAAAGGATTACAAAGCTGCTCTGAAGATGATCTTCCAGGCACTGAGAGAGCTGCACTCCCTTGGATTTGCTCACCAGGATCTGCAGCCCAGGAACTTTGTAATAGGTTATCTTTTGCTTTCATTTTCATTTTGCTTTCCCATTACCTGCAGTTAAGAGAATATGTTTCATAGCTATCTGTAAAAATATAGATGGCTTTATGCCAAATGGGGTGTCTGTGGCATTAGATCTCTTCTTTGAATAACTATGTTCACAGACAGCCGCTGAGGAGTGAAAAGAACAACCTTACATATCACATTAGCTTTGCCCTCCTCTCCAGGGCTGTGAAGACTGATCAGCCCACAGCATATCAGCCCAAAATCTCTTCAGAAAGTTGTTTTCTAAAGGAAGGACCATCCAGAAGTCAGTGGTGGACTGTATCCAGTTTTTTCCACCATTATTTGTTAAGAATTTCTCTTATTTCCTCAGATTTAGGTGGCAAAATTTACTTGGCAGACTTTGATAATAAAAAAAAGTTGATTGAAGGCCAAGAAGAACTTGTAAACTCAGATTTAGAGGTAAGTTCTCTGCGAATCAACCTATGGCTTAAAATTTCAGGTTCTTTCTGATATTTTCTGTTGCTGTGAGTCCTAAGGAAAGCCCTTCTGCATCCTCAACTAGAAAACACCTTGATTTGTGGGGAAGCCCATGTAATAATAGATTTTGCATAAGAATTATAGTGATTAGGATGCAAGACTGTGCCTGGTCCTGGGATATCCACAGATCCCCTGAGAGGAAGGTTATCATGCCCGTCTCCTCTGTCCTTGGGCACACAGCTTCCAAGTTTGTGTTGGTGTGTATTTGCACACTTCTGGGGACCTACAGGGCTTAGGAATACGAGTCCCCTCCCATTTGGTAGGAAGTTCCATGCACCTGGCAGGTGAGCAGTGATGTGTCTCTTTGCAGGCCCTCAGCAGGCTCGTGCTGTACGTTTTAACAGGGGGTAGGAAACCCCTTCAGCAAGTCAGAATCGAGGATTTGGACGCTAAATCCCTGGATTACATGGAGGCTCTGGACCTTGTAAGAAGCCTGTCCTCTCATGATGAACGGGGCTTGGAAGGTTTGAGCAAACATCCCTATTTCTGGAGCAAAGAGATGTAAGTCCTGGCAGTATACAAAGGGAAAGCTTTTGGTACAGGAACTGACTGTAATGCTGGGAAAAGGCATGTCCTACTGTAGCTAAGGAAGCTTCTCATTCCACAGCAGGTTCAACTTCCTGAAGAGTATATGGAATCAAATCAAAGGTATCGACAACCGAGAAACTATTTTTCAAGATCCTAATGTTACTGAAACTTTTCCTTATCCAGCGTGGACCAAGGAGGTAATCCTCTTCTCTTTGGACTGATATGAGGTTTGAGCTATAGACATTCAGGCAGAAGCTTCTCCCGAGTGTTCCATAGGCTGTGTTTAAAAATGTAACTGGGAAAAGTAGCCCCACACAAATACAGACAACTGGGAGAAACAGTTAAATCTGAGGCACTTGGTCGAAAGACATTGATGCTTAAGGGAGCTCTATTGACTGGGGTGGTCATTATAGATTAGCTGGTAAACCTTCAAAGGTTTTTCTGTTCCTTGTTGCCAGCAAATTTCTGGCAAAAGTGTTTTGTTGATTGTCTCAAAAGCAGCCAGACCAGGCCTGCTTCTTCAGGTAACATTGTGCTGCATCATTTGGGATCTGACAGTCTCAGTTCAGTACAGCAGCCCAACTGGTCCTCAGTGGCACAGTTAGATCAAGACTCTTGGGTCCCTCCTGCCCTCCAGGCAAGCAGGAAAATCTCCTGTGCCATGTTGACAGCCCTAATACAAATGCCACACCTTGGCAAAGCGGGAGAGGAAACCCTTAGCAGAATCAGGGGGGCTGCGTGGTGCATTCCCTGCAGAGTGGACTCTTCTGCTCGTGTTGGGAAATAGGCTTTTAAGGGTCAGGAGATTTTTCCCATGCAAGATGATGTCCCTGCGGAAAGGCAGTGATGGTAGATGTGCTGCTGTGGTGTGTGAAAGGCAGAGAATAATCTATGTCCTTTCTTTCAGATTGACAAAGATGTTCTAGATGTAATGAAAAATCCCAGGAATCCAAAATCATTCAAATCGAGAAAACAGAGCAAAACCTTCAACTACAGCAATGATGTCACTGACCTACTGCGGCTCATCAGAAACCTGGATGAACACAAAGATAAAGGGTACACATTCTCATCCTTGCCCCTGCCACAGTTGCATAGAATCACAGAATATCCCGAGTTGGAAGGAATCTAAAAGGATCACAGAGCCCAACTCCTGACCCTGCACAGAACCCCCCAACAATGCCTGAGAGCATTGTCCAAACACTTACTGAGCTCTGTCAGGTTTGTTGCTGTGACCACTGCCCTGGGGAGCCTGTTCCAGTGCCCAGCTGCCCTCTGGGTAAAGAACCTTCTCCTAATATCCAACCTAAACCTCCCCTGACACAGGACCATGCTGTTCCCTCAGGTCCTGTCACTGGTCACAGCGAGCAGAGATCGGTACCTGCCCCTCTGCTTCCCTTCGTGAGGAAGCTGTAGACCCTGATGAGGTTTCCCATCAAGCCTCCTCTTTTCCAGGCTGAACAAACCCAGTGACCTCAACCATTCCTCAATCTTCTCTAGTCATGGGCACTCACACGTGAGGTTAGAGGGGGTGTTAGCTCCTAGTGATGGTTTCACTGAGGATGGTGGCCACCAGTGCCCTTCAGTGAAGACGCAGGTGGGATTAGGTAGATGGAGGTGCTGGAGGAATAGCAAAAAAAAAAAAAGAGGCTGAGGAGTTTAGGTAAGGTATAGAATAGTCACAGCTCTGGGATTTCTAGGAAACCTTCCTGTGTTATCAGAAAGCTTCTGGAATGGCATTTTCCCTGCAAGGGAGGAAGCAGGGCATCCTGACTACTGACTCCTTGGACAAGCTTTAAAAATCCTTATTGTTTTTGTTCTCTTTCAGGATCAGTGACAAAATAGGAGACTATGCTGAGTATTTCCTGAAGACTTTTCCAGCTCTTACCATTTATGTCTACAACAGTTTACGCCAGAATCCCACATACAGTCACTTTGCAGACGTCCAGGACCCTTCTCTGTAGGATGTCTCCTGTCCCTTGCCTGATCCCACCATCACTGCCTCCTTTTATTCCTTATTTATTCATCTGCAAAAGAGTTGAAGAAGTGGGTGAAGGAGATGGGAGAGAGCACATGCAGGGACAGAGTATGGAGGACTTAAACTAAGAAATGAAAGATGCTTCAGAAGTGTTTGGTGTAACAACCATGACCTTCAGAGAGGAACCAAACTGAGTGCCAGCCCAGGTTCCCCTTGATGACCTACCTCTGTCCCTCTGGGTTTATCTGCCTCTGAGATGTGGAGATCCAGGCCCTGACCCTTATGGAGAGTGGGGAGATGTGGGACAGCCCCTGGGGTAGCCAGCACATCTGGGAGGCAGGAGGACAGCATTGTCAGACAACATGGGACCCTCTGATAAAGAAAGAGGAATTTGAGCTCCTTGCAAGAGCCAATCTTCCCTGCAGCTTGCACTGAGGAACTGCTCATCTACCCCTAGAAAGACATGGATTCCCTCTTCTCAGTCTTCTGGAAACACAGCAGCCAGAAAAATGGTATGTCTGGCTTCAGTGTTGCCCTTGGCCATTATCCCTCTGATCTGGTAGAGGCACTCTCTGTCCAGCCTGCTGGGACCCGAAGGACTTCCATTTGGGGAATGCAGGAGATGCTTCTGCAAGGAATGGATGTAACGAGCACAGTCCCACAAAACTCTGCTACTGTGCGTAGTCTTGACCCACCTGAAAGTGGTCATTGACATCAGAGGGGCTACAGGGACCTTTTCCTCCTGGAGAGGACAAGCTCTGCCACGGCAGGGCTGTGGACAAGCACTCCCTGTCTCCGAAACAGTTGGTGTGTTACTGTCCTCCTGCCAGACTCAGCTCCCCTGCACAGAACTGTGTCCATGCAGCCAGCCTGGAGCTTTGACACTGGCAGCTGGGTGGCACAAACCCCTTTCTGAGATTCCCACAGCATGTCACGTGTGCCTGGTTGCCCAAGGGCTTGCTTGTTTCTCTCCTAATGCTCCAACTTGCACGATGATTATATGTTGCTTATGGAAGTATTTTTCAGCTGTTGAAAAGATTTTTGTTGTGGCTTTTTTTCCTGTTTGTTTCTTGGTTTGTTTGTTTCCAAACTGAGATTGTTATTCTTTCAATTAGCCTATGGGGAAACACTTGAAATAAACTTGCCTGGAAAACTGACTCATTTAGGAATGAGGTTCTCCCATCCCCCCTGCATAGAAAGAGATACTCTGCAGCATCAAGAAACTCTCACCTGCATCAGGGGTCCTGGCTCACAGCAAAGGTCCTTCTGATGGTCCTGAGAACCTTTTAAATACGTAATGGAAGTCTGACTATGCAACTGTCAATGAGGTGCTAGTAGAGAAAATGCATCCAAGAGAATGCTGACTTCTTTTGTGTCAATATTTTTATTTTTTCCTTTCCTCCCTGCCCTTTTTTTCATTGTGTCTCTCACGCCCAGAAGGCAGGAGGACACCCAGAGACGTGTGCCCAGGTCTCAGCAGTGTAGGGAGCAGGGGTGCTGTGGGGAGCATGGTGGCCTTGTGCCACAGCAGCATTTCTGCTCTTGCACGAGGAGACGTGAGGCCACGGGCTGGGTTCCTTCAGTCTCTTGTAAAATGCCACATTTCCAGCTTTCTTCGACCTTTGCATCTTCTTCCATCATTCTGCTGTTTCACTAAAGGGCTGTGACTCGGCAGCCTTAAAAGGCATGCCTGAGTAAGAGCAATGATTGAATCTGAGGAGGCTGGAATTTATCTCTTTGGGGCAATCTGGCTGCTGGGAAGAATTTCCAGAGAAGGCTTGTGTCCTGCTTTCCAAGAAGCCAGAGGTACCAACAGGCTGGTGTCAGAGAAAAAAATGTGATCCACGCACAGCATCTGCAAAGTAGATTGCTCACAGAGGCCATGGGAGGAGGAGGGGATGCAGGAGACTGGGAGCAGGGCTGGGGAAAACACCAGGCTGCCTCTCCCAGGGGGATGGGCAAGAGCCTGGTGAAAGCAGGTCAGGCAGGATAGAAAACCTGTGGCCAGGGCAGCTGGACAGTATCACAGCTGGGTGGTGTGGCAGTGTCTGGTGGCACAGCCTGGGGGTGGAGGTGTCCTGTGGAGTTGAGGGCAGATCCAGCTGCCAAAACTGTGGGTTGTGCCAATGGCTCCCAGCATCAGTGCCCATCTGGGAGGTGCTGCCTGCCTTTGCCTCGTAAGGCAGGCTTGCAGGCCATGGGTGGTGCCCAAGGACATTCTGGTTTGGCCCCACACACTTCATTCCCCGTTGTCATGCCTGTACATTGTGTATTTGCTGTGCCTCTGCCTTTTTCCTCTGCTCCTGCTGGGTGACTCTCAGGACAGTGGGCTCAGCCCAGTGTGATGGGATCAGGTGCTCCCCATCTTGTGTGCTGAGGACATGCCTGTGTGCACAGGGATGCTCCCAGGTCACTGTGGCCCATCTGCTGCGCTGAAAAACAAAACCACAAACAGTCCACAGGAGCAGTGGAGTGAAGATTGCTCTTAGCTGTAGTTTTGCTGTGTTGAGCTTCAGGCACATCTGTGAAGCCTTTGAGGGACCGGGCTCAGCTGGGCTCAGGAGTGTTAGTGCAAAGCTCACAAAAATGCAGGAAGCTGTTGGGCTGAAAGCTTCTGGGGCAAAGTCAACTTACAGCACAAGGGCAATTTTGAGAAGCTGGTCACATTTCATGTTGTAGGAGTGGCATCAGCTTCCCAAGCCCTTCACTTAAATAAATGTTCCTGGACTTTGTATTTGGTTGGGTATTTTTGATCCTCCAGAAGTGTTGATAATCATAATTGACAAATATGAAACATGTTGTCATCTGCCTTAAATGCACCTGTGTTATTCCCAGGATGCAGTCTTCTAGGATCAGAGGGATTAAAAAGTGGTTAAAAACAGCTAAAATTACAAAGCCAAGAGCCTGCCTCTGACAGAGTCAAACTCTGATGAAGGTTGTGGTCTTTACTTCAGGAGGTCCAAAGAACATTTGGGATGTCTGCAGCTTGCTGCTGACTTGGCAAAGCCACTCTGACTCAGTTTCACCTGGGGAAAATGAAGGCCTTTGGTATGATTTGGTTAATGCTTGGTAAACATAATGGTTTAAAAAAACCCAAACAACTCAAAAAAAAAAAAGCATGCTGAAGCCCCAGTCAGGCATGAGCTGACTTTGACTGGAAAATCAGAAAGGCTCTGGCAAGGCAGGCACCATCTCATCACCCAGGGACAGCTGGGTAGTGAACCAGGTGAGCTCTCTCAGCCTTGCCACCACAGGAAGTATTTGATTTGTGTGGAAGGTGGGGAGAGGTGAGGAGCTGAGATACATTTTACAGATAGATGTGAGGAAGGAGATTTGTGTGGATGAGGGTGTCTCCTTGGCTAGAAGCACATGTTGTGGCATGTCCCTGTCACGGTTGCAGAGGTTCAGGTTGCTGTGCTATGTTACCAGGTAAGCTGGAGTTGCTTTATTTTTAGGTCTTACTGCTGATTAAGTGCAAACTATTCAGTGTGGCCAGGCTGCTCAGCTTCCTTGGATCACACCCCTGTACCACTCCCTGTGGGTGGTGTTTTGGGAGGGCTGTTGTTCGAGGGAGGGCTGTCCTTTCCTTGGTGCCTGCAGGGAAGGCAGAGATGTTGCATCAGTGGCTGCTGCTGCTGGAGGCAGGGTGAGGGTGATCAGGGATGAGCACACGGCTGTGTGCTCCTGGGGAGGAGTTTAGGGCGTGGAGAGGTGCAGTGGCTGAGAGTTTTCTGAGAATATTACTGGAGATGGTGGGGCTGACCAGCATCCTGCACGAACCTTTGGGTTTTAAGAGGAGTTGTAGCTTGTGCTACTGTGCTTTGGGGGAGGTAGAACACCTCTGTGACCACCTACCCGCTCACTTACTGAGGGAGGGCCTCTTCTCAAGATTTTTATCTGCATCTGGGAAAAACAACAGGCACAAACTTCCTGTCATGGACTAATGCATGGGGCCCTAAATCCCAGCTCCCATCCCAGCAGCCGGAGCTCCCCTCAGGAGCAGGAGCACTCCTTTCAGCACTGGCTCACCTTCTTTCTCCTCCAAAGGCTCAGTTTTCTTCTGGGGCTCTGGCATTTGGATCTGGAGGCCTTCTGAGAGCGAGAAGACAAGGACAGGGCTTTTCCCTGGTGGGAGATAAGATATGGAGTGGTTACTGTGCAGCAAGTGCTCCGACGGCAAAGGAGGGAGGACAGCAGTGTTGTCCCCCTCGAATCCCATGGGCCTCGTCTGGAGCACAAGGAAGGGTGGTTGAGTGAGGACTTGAGTTACCCAAAACGGCAAGACAGTTTGGGGGCTGCAGGATAGGGGTGTTATGTCCCACCCTGGATCTGTGCCAAGGCTGGGGGGCTCCTGTGTGGCAGATGTGGGAGGAAATGGAATATGGAGACACGGGGGGAGATGTGCTCCTGGCTTTGTGCCTGCTTGGGCAGCATCTCCGTGCTGATGGCCGTGAACGGGTCAGGCAGCGTGCCCAATCCCATAGCACCGTCCCTCCGCCGAGCACAGGCACAGACAGTGCCACAGTGACGCCTGGCGATGGGAGATGGGTCCCTGCCTGCCACCTCCCAGCCCTGCACACGCCGCGTCTGCGCAACCCTCGGAGTGAGGGAAAAGCAAGGCGTGGGCGAGAGCAGGTTTTCTCTGGAATTACAGGTATTTCCCCCAGCATTTTTGGTGCTTTTTAAAGGCAACAGAGTAATTTTTTTTTTTCCCAGCTGAAAAGGAAGATTTTTATCTAAAGGTCAGGAAAGCAAGACCCTTAGATAAAGGTCATTGGTGAGAGTGTGATAAAGCACAGAAAAGTGACTCAAGCAAAAGGTGGCCTGGACATCAGCACAGTCAGAAACAGCAGCTATTTTGGATCACACATCTATTCCCAAGACACACCACTCAAGCTGAGGGATTTTTTTTCTGCCTGGCTTCTGTTATTCATCCCTGCAAGATGCTACAAGGAGCTGTGGCTTGGGGACAGTTGTCCCAGGAACAGTCCCTGTAAGATTAATGTCCCTGTGAAAGAGATCACAATCTTTTCTACGTGTCCAGAGCAACCCAAAACACACACTCTCTGTGGCTCTGGGTAGTTAAACGTGGGCTGTGCCTGCTGGGGCAGCAGTGGGACACTCCTAACCCTTTCAACAGTTTGTACTGGTTTAATCAAACAATAATTTGGGTTGGAAGGGACCTTTAAAGGCCATCTAGTCCAACCCCCTGCCAAAAGCAGGGACACCTTCCACTAGATCAGGTTGCTCAAAGTCCCATCCAACCTGACCCTGAATGTTTCCAGTGACGAGGGCAGCCACAGCTTCTCTTGTCCAACCTGTGCCAGTGTTTTACCACCCTCTAGTGTAAAAAACTACTTCCTTACATCTAATCTAAATTAACCCTCTTTTAGTTTAACTGTCTCTCTCTCCCCTCCAGTTCCCTGAAGCCCCTGGGAAACACATGTCCTTGTCCTAGATAACACAGCAAGCAGCTTCTGTATAACACAAGGCTTCTGGCTTGTCTCTAGCTTGGAAAAAAACCCCTTGGTTAGGTTTTTTTCTGTTTTGGTTTTTTTGATGGCAGTAGGCTTTTGCATTAAGAGAACCATGTCTGAGGAGGTCCTTGAATTGCAGTGAGGCTCTGTAGCAAGGTGGAAACCCAAGATGGATGTTATCCATGGGAATACCCGTGGTGTGAGGTGGTTTCAGCTAACAGACACTGGCCTGGCAGTCCTGGAGCACAGGGGTCTGTCACCCCAGCCTGGCTGTTGAGCAGCAGCTCAAGCACCTGCCTGTAGCTATCAAAATCCTCCAACTCTGCTGCTTTTTAACCAGAGCTTGACAGTGATAAATGACAGGGAGCAGAACACCAACTTGCTGACGCCCACTCAACCATCAAAGCAAGATTAGTACGTGCCTATTTTGGTTTCCCCTTTAATCAAAAATCAATTAGACAATTTCCAAATGAATATTCAGCCAAGGAGCGGGTTGTCAGGCAGACTGACAGCGCTCAGCACCACTTTCTTTGTGTTTTTCACTTTAGAGTTATTCAGTGTATTGAAACTAAACAAGTGGATGAGAAAGGAAAAAACATCTTTCTCTTTCCCTGGAGATGTCACCTCAAATCCTGATGAAACTTATTCTCCATTCCAGATATT